CTGCTCAAGCAGCACAACTAAGTAAGCAGAAACATTCTCACAGGAAAAGGAAATGGAGGGCAAGACCCTGCCAAAGCAGACTATCAGCTGGTGGAGAAAATTTCCATTCATAGCTGATGCACATAAAATGTCAATCATACCAAGTTAGCCATTTATGAAGCTACAATTGCGCAGCATCGAGGTAGCAGGAACAAACAGCAGGGGGCCGGAACATCTTAAACCACTAATAAAAAGCAAAATTAATCGTCATTTAGGAAAAAAAAAAACCCACCCAAAGAAAGAAACAAATACACACACAAAAATAAAAAGTCACAAAACCAAAACAACAACAAAAAAGAAAACAAAAACCACCACCAAAAAAAAACCAACCAACCAAAAAACCCTAACCCCCGAAAAAAACTATAATCCATCGGACAACAGCTCACCATCTTCGGCAGCCCAGGCATCACGTTTTCTCCGAAACTGCTCCCCACTGAGGCAGCCAGCCTGCCCTCACACTGAGGCCTCTCGCCTCGCAGCCCTCCAGGAGATACCTGACGGCAGCACGGCTCTGCGCCAGCAACCTCCCTGCTCGGCCTAGCCCAAACTGAGCCCTGCCGCTTCAGGGGACTCCTCCTGGCCCGGAGACCCCACACCACCCTTTCCCCAGCTGGGCCAGGGACAGCGCAACCCCAGCCACTACAGTCTGTCCTGCCGCAGCAGGAGCTAAGCCAGACGACGTGAAAGACCAAGCCACCCTTCTCACCTTCACTGCGGCACCAGCCGGGCCGCGACCGCCGCTCCCAGACCCCCGGCTACCGTCCAGACCAGTACCAGCCACAATCCTGCTTGCACTTAGGGCTGCCATCTTGTAGGTGGGCAGAGTCGAGCGGCCCGCAGCAGGAAGGGGAGGGGAGGGCTAGCGACCGCCGTCCCTTCACTTTCAGGGCCTTCTGGGGGCTGTAGTTTCGTCCTGCTGCGGCGGCGTCGAGTTGCATCATGGGACAGGCGTGTGCGGGTTCGGCGGTATTCGCAGCGCCGGAGCACTGAAGGCTGTCTCCTCTCGGCTCTCTCGGCCGAGCGTTTTTGTTTTCCGCTACCGGCAGCTTTTTGGCCCGTCGGCGTGAAGGCTGGCACCATGGACGTTAACCAGCCCAAGCAGGAGCATTTGCTGGCTCTGAAAGGTACTGCAGCGCGGCCCACCGAAGCCCACCAGCGCAGCCTTGCCTTAGCTCCACTCCCTGCTCTGGGGCTGGCTCTAAAGAGCGAGGCGAGGCGGCCGGGCTCTGCTCGGGGGGGCAGCCGGGAGGCGTGGGCTGTGGTCATAAAACAAGCCGTCCGCGTCGGAGGGGGGCCCGATTCTTCACCTCCTAGAAGGCCAAGGAGGGAGCGGGCCGGCAGGAGGGCACAGGGCGGGAAATGGCCGAGGGTAAAAAAGAGACGGAGGAGGTGCGGTGGCAAGCTATTGTGTGTGTGCACCTTGCGTGGCAGGGTCATCGAGGTCGTGCGATGTATTTGCATTTTACACAGTTTTCAGCAGTTACGGGGGGGGAAAAAAACAACAAAAAAACACAACCAAACAAAAAACAACAAACAAACAAAAAACCAAAAATCATAGAATGGTTGGGGTTGGAAAGGACCTTAAGGTCATACAGTTCTAGCCCCCCTGCCGTGGGCAGGCCCATCTTCCACAGGACCAGGTCGCTCCAGGCCCTGTCCAGCCTGGCCTCGGACATTGCCAGGGATGGGGCAGCTGCAGCTCCTTTGGGCAACCTGTGCCAGCACCTCAGAACCCTCACAGTAAAATACTGTTCTAATTTCCAGTTCCCTGCTGTCACTTTTGCTTGTTTGGTGTCATCCTCTCACCCCCTTAATGGTTTTGCCCCTTTAATCTTATGCTTAATGCACTGCTACTGGGCTTGCATCCTTGATTCAGGAATCACAAATAGCAGAAATAAGAATATGTCTCTCACGTACTTTGCAGAATTAATACAGAAATCAAGAGAGCCCTGTAAAAAAATTGTTAACTTCTGCTGGCATTTTGGGTGCCAGTAAGTCAGCAATAGAAATTCTGAGGAGTCTGAATCTACTTTAACTTCAATTCAATCATCAGACATAATATTTACTTTCTTTTTTTCTAAGTATTCTTATATATAAATAGATGCTGCTTGTTAAGTAGGAGTAATAAATAGTTGGTTAAAATCTCAGTTCTGTGAGCATCCTAAATCAGTGTGGCTGCTTGGATGAAGTAATGCAGCTGTGTACATTATTTCAGAGCTCATGCCCATTTACGAGTTTTGCAGTACTCCTGGAGAGAGGCTTTTAATGGTGTCTGCATGTCACTGTAAGATAACAACCATAGAATCATAGAATAGTTAGGGTTGGAAAGGACCTTAAGATAATCTAATTCCCCCCCCCCCCCCTGCCATGGGCAGGGACACCTCCCACTAAACCATCTCAGCCAAGGCTCGGTCCAACCTGGCCTTGAACATTGCCAAAGATGGAGCATTCACAACTTACCTGAGCAGCCCATTCCAGTGCCTCCCCACCCTTACATTAAAGAACTTCTTCCTTATATTCAGTCTAAACTTCCCCTGTTTAAGTTTTAACCTGCTACTCCTTGTCCTGTCGCTACAGTCCCTAGTGAAGAGTCCACTCCCACATCCTTATAGACCCCCTTCAGATACTGGAAGGCTGCTATGAGGTTTCCATGCAGCCTTCTCCAAGCTGAACAGCCCCAGCTTTCTCAGCCTGTCTTCATACAGGAGGTGCTCCAGTCCCCCGATCATCGTCGTGGCCCTCCTCTGGACTTGTTCCAACAGTTCCATTTCCTTTTTATTTTGAAGACACCAGAACTATACACAATACTCCAAGTGAGGTCTCACAAGAGCAGAGTAGAGGAGCAGGATCACCTCCTAATTCAGAGATTAACAAGGCCTTTTTTGAGTATATGTACACACACACAGAGTGAAGCCAAAAACCTGAGAATGTCATCATCTGACATTACAAACACATTTCAATAGTAATTAATTCAAAGCAAAGAGTTTTATGACAGATAATTTTGCCTTTGTAAGAAACCAGTGTAATCCTTTGGCTTGTATGAAAATTGGTGCAGGTTTAAGACTGATTTTGCAAAAGTGGTGAGAAAGGTATCAGAATGATTGCAAACATGTTGGGTGGGACAAGGATGGGAGAGCAAGAGAGTGCATGTTAAGTTCTGCCGTAGCATTTGTAGGTCCATGTCCTGTCCCCACACCCCTGGAACTTAATATAATCTTTGTATGAAAGAAAGCAATGATGTATGAAAGTATAAAGTCTTTAAGGGCTTATTATTATTCAAAAAGTCTAATAGATTTAGGAAGTATCAGGTCCTTAAGTTAAGGACTAAAAGTATGATTGCATGCATTGCTCGGAAGCCCTGAGACTGTCGTGGTTTAAACCCAGTCAGGTAACTCGTTCACTCACTGCCCCCCTTCTTGCCCTCCCCCTACTCCTGGAGGGACAGAGAGGAGAATCGAAAAGAATGCAACTCCCACAGGTTGAGATAAGAACAGTTTAGTAACTAAGGTATAACACAGATCACTACTGCTACCACCAATAATAATAATGATAAAGGAAATAACAAGGGAAGAGAATACAACGCCTCACCACCAGCCGACTGATAACTTGCCCCCCCCAGCCCAACCAAGCTCTGACTGATACCTCCTCCAACCCTGCAGTCTCCCAGCCCTTCTGGGTAACTCTCAGTTACATCCTGGGCATGACGTGCTGTGGTATGGTGTACATGGAATACCTCTTTGGTCAGTTTGGGTCAGGTGCCCTGTTTCTGCTTCCTCCTGGCTTCCCCTCCTCCCTGGCAGAGCATGAGGCTCACAAAGTCCTTGGCCAAACCAAAACATTGCTATCAGCTCTGTTCCCGAGCCGAAAGTCAAAACACAGCACTGCACCAGCTACCAAGAAGGAGAAAAATGACTGCTACTGCTGAACCCAGGACAGAGACTTAAAACTAAATGTGTAGTTCTGATATGAAATGGAAGCAAGCAACTTTCATTTGCCTAAAGAGCTTCCCTTTTAACTGGTTACTGTGAAAACTGATATATCAATCAGTACTATTTCAGGAAGGGTTTTTGTAGCACATTCTAGTTGCTTTACATGCCCTGTCTTAAATGTTGAAGTGTAGGAGGAAAGCACTTAGAAAAAAAAAAAGGTAAATTTAAGAAAATAGGCATCAGTAATTGTGTGTCTTTTAATATACATCACAGTAATACAGGAAGGGTAATGACAGGTGGATAGCAAGAATGAGATATTGACAGTAAAAGAATACTCTTGGGAAGATCAGTATTGAGTAAAATGTGTGCATACAGGTAATGTTCAGCATACCAAACTTACATGGTAATGGTGGTGTACAGTTGCTAATGTTCAGCCTAGATAAAGTAGAATATTCTGATACATATCTTGCTTATTTTTACAACATAACTTTGTTTTTTTTGGTGTTGTGATTTTTTGGTTTGGGTTGTGTTTCGTCTTTTTTGTTTGGTTGTTTGGTTGGTTTGGGTTTGTTTGTTTTTTTTTGTAAAATATCCTAGCAGTATTTTTCTTAATATGGTAGTATCTTATTTTTTTATAATACTTCTGCTTTAGGTCCTGTTTTCCACTGATCTTTGCAGCACGAGGCAAGCGAGTGCTTATAAATAAGATGTTTCAGTCTAGATTTGAGAATCCTAATCAAGAAACCATTCCCTTTCTTAAGAGTAACTGGATTCCTTCTGTACAAGCATGGAAGTGGTCTTGCATTATCGACCATATCAGAGAGATCTAGTAAAACTGCAGAACTTTGCAGAAGCAGCAGTGGAGGAGTTTCCCATTCGTCGGTTACCAAGATTTACACCCTGGTTTCCAAATGATTTATACAGACTTCCCCTCAAACCAAAAAAGCAGCCACCTCTTATTTCTTGTGAGGAAGTAGAAGAATTGAAACAGCTTTCTACACCTTCAGAATATGTTACAGGAGCTCCCGATTGTGACTGCACAAAGTACCTCCTTGAGTTTCAGTCTGACGTGAAACACAGGCAGACTTTAATCCAAGCACAAACTGTTCACAGACTAATTAACTTGGAGAATCAAGGAGACCCACCACCTAACGGAATACAAAAATTGAAAAGGTCTTGGAGTGTCTCTCTCCCTAGCCCTAAGCTTAAAGAAAAGATCCTTCCTTTGTCTCAAGAACTGCAAAATAATTTAGAAAGACTAAAACTGCATGCATTTTACAGAGCAAAGTGGGTAATTGAAGAGTCTATTTGTAATAGTCAGAATTTGGAGGACATCTGGGTAAAGCTGAACAGGCTTATCAAGCACAATGAATTGCCATCTTGCAACGCTACTATCCAAAGATCTGTGGGACAGATATGGATTTTCTGTGATATATTATACTGTGAATATGTTAGAAATATTCTTAGGGAAAAGCTAAGCCTTACTGATAAGATGAATTTACTTGTACATAAATTTGGAATTATATTTAGTTTGTAAGGTGGAGATAAAATTGCAATCTGAAGTGCTGGAGTTTTTTAAGCAGCTTAGGTTATACAAGCTTTAGAACAGCTGATGAATTAATGAACAGAAATGTGCTTAATATTACTTTGCTACAGTTGTTTTAGCTGTAATAATTATTTATTAAGATGAGTAAGTTTCTGCTTGGCGTAGTACTGCATTTTATAGCTTTTCTCTACGTTGGTGGTCTAAAGGACAAAAAATAAAATAAAAATTACAGACTATTATGGCAAGCTGTGTCAGATAATTTCAGTCAAGCAAAGTACATCCTCACTGTGCTTCTTGGAAGTTAGGAGAGGGAAGAATAATTTTAAGTGAGTTGCTATAATCGTTATAAGGATCTGTAATTATTTTTGACATGGAGACTTTCAAGATCTGATTATTTCCTGAAAGCAGTGTATGTGGGTTCTTCAATGAAAGCATAGTCTTCACATGAAATCAGACTTATTTCTGTTCATGTATAAGCTGCCTTAGTAACAACTTAGCACTTGCTAGAATGACTTCGGTAGTAAGATTCTGCCCCTCCCTTTCCCTGGATGTTTCTGGTCTTTTGTCTGTAATTATATTGGGGAACAAGAAAGCACTGACTTCCAGCTACAGGTCAGGAAATTAAGAAATGGGACACTTCCATCTGTGAAAATCCGTTTATTGTCTTTGTGGAAGATAAAGGCCTCTGAGGCTTTAAATGCATTTTATGTTAATGAAAGGCGGAATTCAGCATGACTTTTTTTTCACCTGAAAGAATAAATTTATTCTTTGAAATATTTTATGAAATAAATTTGTTTCGAGGCAACACTGTCCCTGCCCAGTTGCGGGGTCAGTAAAGCAGTTAAACTGTGATCAGTGTAACTGCCATAGTATGTATTTCCATTAGGCACCCCTACTAATTCCAGATAATTTTGCTATAGCTGGAGGTCAAGGTCTGTGGCATCTGGAAGAGGAGGAAAATAAATGAATGGTATTTGTAGATTGTTATCATTAACACTCGTGGAATAAAAGTGTACGTAAACATTTCATCCCTCTATGTAAAAACTAAATAAAATCCCCCTGGACTTTTATTTACCTTTTTCTTTTGATGACATTGTTATGTCAGAATAATTACATTATTATAGGCATTACATATCTTCATGTAGTTTAAGGATGTTGCTCAGTGTGGATCATTGACATGTATTTGTAAACTTTGACTGAACAGTAAGAAAGTCTTATATTGACATTTGGGTGTTTGTGACATTTGGTATTACCACTTAGCCAAATTGCTGTAAAGTGCTGTCTAGAGTAACTTCATGTCATGATTAGTTTTGAAGCTTGTGTAGCCAAGTCATTTCACTGAAATTATTCTTCTGATCTTAACACTAATAGTAACAAAGTTTCTTTGTGCATCAGCATATTGAAAGATATAATGGAGCAGAATGCAGCGTGATTCAAGTTTTATTTAATGTTGTATTTTCTGCCCAGGATAGTAGAAGAACAGACATGAGAGGTTGTCCTGCAAAGAATATTTTCTAATATTAATTTAGTAGTCCTATTAAGTATGATCATTTACATATCTTAATTTGTGCTTTGACTTCATTCCATGATATATTTATTTATCGTCTTAAATGTGACTAAACTTTATCTCTTACTGTTCCTTTAGAAACAGGCAGCAAATACTAGTTTATATGGGCTACTATAAATTTGAATAAAATTAGGTAACTCCCAATAATACAATCTCAGTACACTTATTCAATTATACTGACAAGAGCTAAACAAACATCTTACTAAACAGAAGGACAGGTTGGTGTGACTGTTCAGTGGTAGCTGTCAGCTTTCTGCTGCTTTGGGTTGGCTTGTATGTGAATAAAAATTATAGAATTATAGAATCAGCTACGTTGGAAAAGACCTTTAAGATCATTAAGTCTGACCATTACCTCCGGACTGCCAAGACCACCACTGAACTGTATCACTGAGGGCCTCATTTACACAGTGTTGGAACACTTCAGGGACAGTGACTCCATCACTGCCCTGGGCAGCCTGCTGCAATGCCTGACCACCCTCTCTGTGAGGAAATTTTTTCTAATATCCAGTCTAAACCTTCCCAGGCATGCCTTGAGGCCCTTACCTCTTGTCCTGTCACTTGTTACTTATGAGAAGAGACTGAGCCTCACCTTGCTTACAATCTCCTGTCAGGTAGTTGTAAGGTGAGCAGTAAGGTCTCCCCTGAACTTTCTGTTCTCCAGGCTAAACAACTCTAGTTCCCTCAGCTGCTCTTCATCAGACTTATGCTCCAGACACTTCACCAGCTTTCTTGCCCTTTTCTGGGTGTGCGTCAGCACCTCAATGTCTTTCTTGTAGTGAAGGGCCCAGAACTGAACACAGGATTCAAGATGCACGTTCTTGTGAACCAGTACAGCCCACTACATCCAAGTGCATATCAAAATAATTAAATCAGAGGAATAAAGCAAGAGGGAGCAATGGCATCACCAGAGCTCTTGGCTGTCAGAGTGGCATGGAATTTGTTATATTGAAAAAGACCAGGTGATCCCAAAAGGTGTTACCCTTTATCAGACTAAGATATGATGGTTGTGGTTTTTTTTGGTGGAGAGCAAGACAAAATTGTACTTTGAAAATAAAATTTAAAAATCCTTTTTTTATTGACTTGTGGTTTATTTCTTTATTTTTGCAGTGATGAGGCTAACCAAGCCTACTTTATTCACTAATATTCCAGTGACTTGTGAAGAGAGAGATTTGCCAGGTATGTCTTTTGTACTGACTATTATGTGCGTACTAGCACGTTTATGCAAGGTGACCATCTGAGACTTAGGTATCAGAGGAGTCTTATAACTCCCATAGACAGTAATCTGAAACAGAAGTATGTTTGGTGTTTGGTAATGGCTATGGGAAGATACCAAAGTGCACTCACTCTGCAACTCTTCACCTGCAGCTTTGAAAGCATGGTGATGTTGTTGCAAGCATCATCTCAAAGTCTGAGTAATTTAACACATAAGATAGAGGGTGCTTGTGAATGAGAATTGTGTAATTGTAGGGAAGTTTGGCGTGACTGTCATCTTTCTCTGGAGAAAATGCCTCAGTAATTAGAATCAACACAGGAATGTTTAATTGAAAATTACTTTTCAAGAATCACTGCCTTTGAATTGTGTTATGCTTGGTGTACAGTCATAAATTGGAAATCCCTGGGTTGTCCCCCAGCTGCTATCTAGAAGTTGTGTATAAGAAAAAGGCAAATAAAGATTCAAGAAAAAGAGATTGTTTGGAAATGCAAAGCAAGTAGGGGAAGAAAGTAAGTGGGGTTGATTAGTTCTGTTATATAATGTGCTTTGCTCAGGCAGAATTTAGAATCATAGAATCATAGAATAGTTAGGGTTGGAAAGGATCTTAAGATCATCTAGTTCCAGCCCCCCTGCCATGGGCAGGGACACCTCACACTAAACCATCTCACCCAAAGCTCTGTCCAGCCTGGCCTTGAGCACTGCCGGGGATGAAGCATTCACAGCTTCCTTGGGCAGCCCATTCCAGTGCCTTACCACCCTCACAGTAGAAAACTTCTTCCTTATATCCGATCTAAACTTCCCCTGTTTAAGTTTTAACCCGTTACCCCTTGTCCTGTCACTACAGTCCCTAATGAAGAGTCCCTCCCCAGCATCCTTACAGGCCCCCTTCAGATACTGGAAGGCCGCTATGAGGTCTCCATGCAGCCTCCTCTTCTCCAGGCTGAACAGCCCCAACTTTCTCAGCCTGTCTTCGTACAAGAGGTGCTCCAGTCCCCTGATCATCCTCGTGACCCTCCTCTGGACTTGTTCCAACAGTTCCATGTCCTTTTTATGTTGAGGACACCAGACCTGTGCACAATACTCCAGGTGAGGTCTCACAAGAGCAGAGTAGAGGGGCAGGATCACTTCCTTCATCCTGCTGGTCACGCTCCTTTTGATGCAGCCCAGGATACGGTTGGCTTTCTGAGCTGCAAGTGCACACTGCCAGTTCGTGTTCATTTTCTCATCGAACAACACCCCCAAGTTTTCTCTTAAAGTTTAACATTAATTTGAGATTAGCCTTTGGGATTGTGCCATTCAGTAGATATACTGAATGATTTATTTGACACAAGTGCCTGAAAGTAAGTTGTAATTTCTAGGTGGGCTTATAGATAAGTATTTCTTCCCTAAACAATTTGGTTGTAAAAGGAGTGTCTGAAATAAATTGCAATATGTGATTAAATGTCATAACTTAAATGTAAACAAAGGTTTAGATTTAGCAAATGTTTAGATACTAGCAATTTGGTATTTCTACAGGTAATCTCTTTAATCAGCTCATGAAAGATGATCCTTCTACTGTAAGGGGAGCAGAAACTTTGATGCTAGGAGAAATGTTGACTTTGCCTCAAAATTTTGGGTAAGAATGAATTATTGTAACTATAACATGTAAGATTTAGGATTCATTTAATGATAACATGTTTTTTACTTTTCTTTCTTTTTGAACATCATTGTTATGCAATGAGATGTTCAGTCATCTTAAAAAAAATCTATGGCTTGATTTATAATGTGACATAATACATAATTGTGTGCTGCCTGATGTTTCTTGTCCATAGCCTGACTCTGAATATAATAAGGATTGAAAATTGAAAGAAATTTGCAGCTGTGGGTGAATTATTAATTTAATACACTGGTATAAACCACATCCGACACTGAGAGTTTTCTACAGTGATTTTTGTGGGTACTGTAAGCTATCTTATTCTTCTAAGATTTTTGTCTAGAAAAAAAATCTTGATTTGTTCTTTTGTGAAGCTGTTTGTCTTAGAAGGATAACTTTTAGAAGTACGCAAACATACGTTTGTATGTGTGTGTGTATATTTATTTTCATTAGAACTTTCAGTGAAATATTCTGCATTTTTTTAAATAACTGTTACTGCATTTTTATTTTTTTTTTTGTAACACAGAAATATATTCCTGGGAGAGACATTTTCCAGTTACATTAGTGTACATAATGATAGCAGTCAAGTTGTCAAGGACATACTGGTAAAGGTATGTGAAGATAAATCTACTTACTAGATATATAAAAAAAAGAAGTATGTTGAGTATGTTTTCTAACAATATCTTGTGCGGTTAAGGTATATATATGGACTTCATGAAATATCTTTTTCCAAACCAGAAAATGTACCTGGAAATTGGAAAAAATAAGACAGAAAAATAGAAATTATAGTAGAAATCTTTAAAGATTAAAATTCAAAACTACGATTGTATTAAAAAAAATTGTTATATTATTGTCATGGTTTAAGCCCAGCCAGTAGCTCAGAACCACGCAGTCGCTCGCTCACTGCCCCCCACCCCAGTCATCCCCCCACTCCTGGAGGGATGGCGAGGAGAATCAAAAGAATGTTAACTCCCACAGGTTGATAAAAGAACAGTCCAGTAGCTAAGGTATAACACAAACCCACTACTGCTACCACCAATAGTAGTAATGATAAGGAAAATAACAAGAGAAGAGAATACAACTGCTCACCACCCGCTGACCGATACCCAGCCTGACCTGAGCAGCGATCTAGCCCTTCTGGGTAACTGCCCTTGTTTCTATACTGGGCACGACATGCTGTGGTATGGAGTACCTCTTTGGCTAGTTTGGGTCAGGTGTCCTGTCTCTGCTTCCTCCCGGCTTCCCCTCCTCACTGGCAGAGCATGAGACTCAGAAAGTCCTTGGTCAGAGTAAACATTACTGAGCAACAACTAAAAACATTGGTGTTATCAGTGCTGTTCCCAGGCTGAAAGTCAAAACCACAGCACTGTACCAGCTACTAAGAAGGAAAAAAATGACTGCTACTGCTGAACCCAGGACATTATCCACCCCTTATTCCATACAATTCATGTCATGCTCAGATCAAACATTTTTCAATATACCATCTTCTTGTCTCATATGTATATGTGTATATATATATATATACACACACACATATATATATACACATACATCCACACATACATCCACACACACAAAGAGAGAGATATCATTCCTTAGTGCATGGACCAATCCCTATAAAGCTGCTGAGTTCATCCGGTCCATGATGTCGGGCTCCATCTCTTGTAACAGTCATACAGAGCAGGAGAGACGGTGTGCAGTGTTGGATTGTTGCCTGCTGATGACACTGTGGAGTTCATCCAGTCACTGCTGAGCTCGTCTGGTTTCATCAAAGTTCATTCTTTGTTGGCATGGTGGTCAGAGGGAAGTCAGGGCCAGTCACTGGTGACCTGAAGACATCTGGCTGGTGGGCTATAAAAGTGCTACATAGCAGGCAACAGCATATAACTGAGTTCATTGGCTGTTTTCCCCTAAAATCACATCCCCTTGAGGTACACATTGGAATTCCCCATCTTCCCACATTCTCCACCAAGTATATCTGGATCCCTGAGCAAAAGCAATCCCACGAGTGGGTTTGCCTTTACCTGAAGCAGGAATAACCCAGACTGTCTTCCCCAGCAAATTCTTTACATGCACGACAGGAACTTTATCCCCTTTTACAGTACGTGAAAGTTCTGACTTGGGCTGGGCCAGCCCTGTTGGCAGATCCTCTGGTATTGACCAGCCAGGTGGCCTTTGGTAAGTGTGTATCCCAATGCTTGAAAGTCATGCCACCCATTGCTCTCAGTGTAGGTTTTAACAGCCCATTGTACCGTTCGATTTTCCCAGAGGCTGGTGCATGGCAGGGGATGTGATATACCCACTCAATGCCATGCTCTTTGGCCCAAGGTTGTTCTAGAAATGAGCCCCCTTGTCTGACTCAGTTCTCTCTGGGGTGCCATGTCGCCACAAAATCTGTTTCTCAAGGCCCAGGATAGTGTTCCGGGCAGTGGCATGGGGCACGGCGTATGTTTCCAGCCACCCGGTGGGTGCTTCCATCACGGTAAGCACATGGCGCTTACCTTGGCGGGTTGGTGGGAGTGTGATACAGTCAGTCTGCCAGGCCTCCCCGTATTTGTACTTCAGCCATCGTTCTCCATACCAAAGAGGCTTTAACCATTTAGCTTGTTTAATTGCAGCACATGTTTCACACTCATGAATAGCCTGGGCAATAGTGTCCGTTGTTAAGTCTACCCCTCAATCATAAGCCCATCTATATGTTGCATCTTGGTCCTGATGGCCTGAAGTGTCATGGGCCCACCGGACCAAAAATAATTCACCCTTATATTGCTTATCTAAGTCCATCTGGGCCACTTCAGTCTTACCAGCTTTATCCACTTGTTGGTTGTTCTGGTGCTCCTCAGTGGCCCAACTCTTGGGTACATGGGCATCTACATGACGTACCTTCACCACCAGGTTCTGCACCCTGGCAGCAATATCTTTCCACAGTGCAGCAGCCCAGATGGGTTTACCTCTGCGTTGCCAGTTGCTCTGCTTCCATTGCTGCAGCCACCCCCACAGGGCATTTGCCACCATCCATGAGTCAGTATAAAGTACTGGCCACTTTTCTCGTTCAGCAATGTCCAGGGCCAGCTGGATGGCTTTCACTTCAGCAAACTGACTCAATTCACCCTCTCCTTCAGCAGTTTCTGCAACACGTCATCAAGGACTCCATATGGCTGCCTTCCATCTCCGATGCTTTCCCACAATACAGCAGGACCCATCAGTAAACAAGGCATACTGCTTTCCACTTTCTGGCAGTTTATTACATGGTGGGGCCTCTTCAGCATGCACCACCTCCTCCTCTGGTGACATTCCAAAATCTTTGCTCTCTGTCCAGCCCATGATGACTTCTAGAATTCTGGATGACTGGGATTTCCTGTTTGAGCTCATCTAATTAGTGCAGCCCACTTACTCCATGTAGCATCAGGTGCATGATGTGTAGAGGAGACCCTGCCTTTGAACATCCAGCCCAGCATGCACAACTGGGGTGCCAGGAGGAGCTGTGCTTTAGTGCTAATCACTCCTGAAGCAGCTTGAACCCCTTCATAGGCTGCCAGTGCCTCTTGTCATGGTTGGTGCAGCCGCTGTACTTGGGGTTTGAGTAGCACCAGCAGCTGCATTGTCTGTTGCTGTTGGGGTTTGGGTAGCTGCTCTACTTGTCGTTGGGGTTGGTGTAGTTGCTGTGCTTGAAATTGGATTAGCTGCATTGTCTGTTGTTGCTGCACTTGTCAACTAGGGTTTGTGTAGTTGCTGCACCTGTCACTGGGGATGGTGTAGTTGCTGTACTTGTTACTGTGGTTGGTGTAGCTGCTTTACTTGTCACTGGGGTTGGTGTAGTTGCTGTGCTTGGAGTAGCTGCGTTGTCTGTTGCTTTGCCATCAGTTGCAGAGATTTTTTTTCACTTTGAAGGTCCTGGTAAGCATAGGCCAAGCCCCAGCACGTTGCCATGATTTGCCCCTCTCTGGTATGGCCAGGATGACAACAAACCTCATTTAAGTGTTTTACTAAGTTTTCTGGATGTTGCACTTGTTCAGTGGTGCAATTCCAAAGCACTGGAGCAGCCTAGTGCTCTAGATACTTGCCCATACTGTCCCACACACCCTGCCACTCATGGCTGTCCAGCCTCTGGGAAAATCCCTTGGACCTCCTATATTGTCATCTAACCCAACTCTGCTTAACTTTTGAGATCAGGCGAAATGGTCGTTGGTAAAACACACTCTGTGTGTGTGCCAACATGGTGATCCCCATCACAATCAACAGACAGGTCTCAAGGGTACCCAAAGGCCATTCAAAACTTTCAGAACTCTCAAATGATGCTGTAAATAGTCTGGTGGGGGAACTGGGAATGTGAGGGAATATCTCCTTCATAGGTTGACCACCCAAGGAGGAAAAAAAAATGTGTAATTGCTAAACACTTCCATTAGATACCTCCCAAAATATGGAGGTCTGGGAACACACACTGGGAATGCAAGCTAGATCAGCTTCATGATCAATGAGTATTGTATTACAAGCCATTACCACAAAGTACAGTGAAACAAGAACCTTAGCCCAGGCCACCCAGCCAATAAGCACTAGAACAGCAAACTGGCTGTAAGTAAGGCACAACATGCTGAAACTGTGAGATCAAGAGCAACAACTTTAAGCCCAGCCAGTAACTCAGAACCACACAGCCGCTCGCTTGCTCCCCTGATGCTACTGCTACTACTGCTACGACGACTGCTGCTGCTGAACCCAGGACAATTATAAAGCTGCTCTGGAGAATTGGTGTAATAAAACTTCCACAACCAGAAAAATGAGTTATATTTGCTTACTTGGACTCACAATGAGGTCATCAAAGCAAGTCTCTGTAAAGCATGCATTGGCTTGTATTTTACTTTGGGCTGAACAAATAATACTTCGAGAATATAAATTCGAGAAGTCATTGTGGAACTCAATGTAAAAGTAAATAGAGATTTTATAAGGTGCATGTGAAAGGATTGGACTGTTTATATATATGTATTTTAGAACTTGTCTTTAGCTTTGACAAATAACTCATCATCATCATAACTTATGTATATAAAGCATGTAGGGTATATAGTGCTCAGTGAAACTTAGTACTTTATGACGTAAGTTATTCTTCTTTAAATTGCTTAATGAGTTGCAGTTCTAACCAGTGCTTTGGTTTTCTGTCCCCAGGCTGATCTTCAGACAAGTTCTCAGCGCTTGAACCTTTCAGCTTCTAGTGCTGCAGTGGCAGAACTTAAACCTGACTGTTGCATTGATGATGTGATTCATCATGAAGTAAAGGAAATAGGAACACACATGTAAAGTTTTAAATTTTTCTATGATTAAATGAACTTAAATGAAACTGCAGCACATGCATGCTGTTCTGTTGCTGCTTTGATATAGGCACAAAATTTAAGTAATTCAAATTACTTCTTAAAAATTGTTTCTTTCAGCCTAGTTTGTGCAGTAAGTTACACTACGCAGACAGGAGAGAAGATGTACTTCAGAAAGTTCTTCAAATTTCAGGTATTGCACAAAGTATTCTACTCTACTTTTAATAAGTGGGTGAATCTGGAAAACCCATTTTAAAATATTTGATACTTCAAAGCACTTTTACTTACTAAAAATCTGTTTTGACTTTTAAAAGTAATCCCATAACCGTTGCTGTAAATTTCATATGAGCTGGTCATTTCTAATTGCTGTATAATTAAACATTTGAGAAATAATAAATATTACATATTATGAATTTTATTGATTTAATGAGAAAGAAAACTCTACTCTGAAAAAAAAACAAACACAAGTTTTTATAGCAGCCAGCATCCTGGTTATTTTTAAATGGAACAAGAGAACAGGTATTGTTTGCTCCTTGACACATTTTAACCTTTGAGGTTAGATGGTAAAATTTTGTTTTTTCTTCTCATGTGTATAGCATTTCATACATTGGAATTTAGTGGCTGGGTGTTTAAAAGAAACGAAGAAAAGAAGTCTGATGTGTTACATCTGACTAATAAGTAATTGGTGGAGTTGAAACCTTTTGTTCCACTTCACAAACTTCAAGACTTGAAATTAGAGTAACTGAAAAAGGCAGGAAATTGTTGTTGTCTGTAGACTAGTTCTGGCAGGAAAGTCCATTTGATTTGTGTATTTAATGGGTGTTTATTTTTTAGAGAAATATGCTGAGATTTGGATAGCTGTGGGCTCTTTCCCCTAGAATGAAGGATTCAGTGACATGCTTTACTAAATACATTTTTAGATACTCTCATGTCTGGCAATGCAGGAGCATTATGTAACTGGGACCTGTATCTTTTGCATAATGCAGGTGATTTACTCTTTTGTAGTATTCTACAGTATTCTATATACTTCAAAAAAAAAGATTTCAGTCTTTAGAAGGCCAAATTGCCATGCACTACAAAAGACACCTGACTGCTGTTATTACCTGAGGGCCTTGAAATGGCAGGTATGGTTAGTCAAAGGTGTTTCCAGACAATTCTAGGGAAAATCATTTCATATCAATTTTTGTGTTGCACTTTTCTCTGAACTCAGAAACTTCAGTGTTTCTTCATCTTTAATGAAGCTGAGTTTCATCTTTGTGTGTTTTGCTTGCCCTTTTTGTAAAATGGTTTCCCTTTCCATTTTTCCATTTTTTGTCCCCAGGATCTCAGTATTCTGTACCTCTGTCCCCTCTAGGCTTTCTCTAATCACTAATGTACCCATACACATTTCCAGTTCACATCTCCTTTCCCATCCCTAACTTTGTTATTGCCAGAGCCTCGTTCAACATGTCAGTTTGTCTCCTTTAGATTTGATATGGAAGCTTATTTGTGCACATTTTTCAGGGGTCTACATGCATATTGTAATTCCTGGTTTTTAGCTTAATCCAGCACAAGCAACTTTAATGTCAAAATAGGTAAGGCCAGTTATCTGTCACATTTGAAGCTCTTCCTTCAAAGAAGGAGTCATAAAAGCTTCTCAAAACGTACACATGCTTTAACCCATTTTATAAATACTCTCTGATTCATTATGAGAAAAATGCTTCACTGAGCAATTTTGGTTGTGGTTTGGTTGGTTGGTTGGTTGGTTTGGCTTTTTGTTTGTTTTTTTTCTATATGACATGGGGACAACAGCTAAAAAATCGGAGAACAAGCATCAAGAAATGTTACAGAAAACTGAACAAGGTCTTTACAATGTGAATTGCTGTCTGCTAGTGTCTGAGGTGCCACCAACTGCTTTATAACAAAAAAAAAAAACCCACCATCTTCTCTTTTATAGATTCTTAACTTTTTCACTCATATTTTCTAGGATCTTTTAAGTTGAACTGGTGTTACAGTTAGTTTTAAACAGCTTCTTTTGCAACCATTATATGTAGTTTCATGCTGATATAGAGTGCCTTTTTGTTCCAAAGCTTCCTGAGTAATTGACACCATTATGCTTATATGAAAAGAAATGATTCTTTCTAGGGTTTGGTTATTGTTCGGATTTGAGGGGAGGATGTGTGTGAACCTCACAATAATTATATTATTTTTACTGGAATGCCACTTGAAATTTACTGGAATGAATGGAAAGATTTTCTTTATCAAAGAGAAAAAAATATCAGCATTTAGGGAAATTAGTAAAAAGCTCACTGAAGCAAAATATTTGGTGGGGAAAAACACTTCACTAACAAAAACCTAAATTAAAATTTTGACTTCTTTTTTTCTCATTACAGAGAGAGATGGTTATGATTACTTGAAAGAGTTGAACATTACACCTGTTATAATGCAAAAATCTCTGTGAAGAATACTTTTTAATCTTGAATTCTTCAGGGCTAAAAAAATTGTTCACAACTTGAAACTTTTTAGGGGTGTCTCAGGGTGCACTGCACTTACATGCAAACAAAAGAAAATTTTCCCTGAATAAAGGGAAATAAATTTGGCAAGATACTTGAAATTTGTTTCGTTATAAGTATTATTGAAGATTATTTATTTCTGTTACATCAGTGTATATTTATTTCATATTTGAATATGTTAACTATAATGGCTTTATGTACAAAATTCAAGCACTTAAGAGCCAATGCTTTACTATCACCTTTCATGTCATCAAATTGTTTTCTTTTGCTGATTTATTCTCATGTGATTGAAGTGGTTTATTGGCTTTTTTATTGCTTATAACAGTTGTGTTTTCTAGAAGAAAGTGAAGCCTAATAATGGTTTGTTACTTAAGCTAATCATATGAATAGTTCTCTGGTTTTAGAGAAGCTCTCAGCAACTTTTGCTGCAAAACACTAAAGGACTTGCAAATTGTTCCTGCTCGCTCTTGAATGCAAGTGCAGATCACTTCGGGATACAAGATGGATGTAGCGCTGCTTTAAAGACATAGATCTGTTTAGTGCACTGGATTTGTCTAGTTTTGAATGAGGCCAGTGCTTAGGTGGAGGAGTATTTGTTTTCAGTCTGAGAAAGCTGCTTAGCAGCAAAGCAATCAAGTGTGCAAATAAGAAGCAGCAAGTGTATATGCTGAACTGTGAGGTTTTAGCTGATTGTATCATATATTTCATTATACACCTGTTTTATGCAAGGTCAAAAAAAAAAAATAACACTTTTGTAAAGATCTTGACACTTATAAACAGTTATGCTGAAGTTGTCTCAGAAACCAATTGTTAATCTTTTTTCCATTTCATTCAGGTTCTTAAACCACTAGATGTGAAAACCAAATTCTACAATGCTGAGGTGAGAGCTGTGTGTATCTGGGTTCGTTTTGGTGTGCTGGGTTTATTACTTCACATTAGGTGGTTAGATTAAATTCAAATTGCTTCTTAAGTACACCTTTCTGAGGAAGATAATCAGTTTTAAAAGGAAAAAATTAGGTGGACATGTCACACCTTCATGTAATTGCCAGTTTTGCATATTTTCCACTTTCCCATAAACTCAAATACTTTCAGTTATTGCTCATATTTTTAGGCTGATAGAGTACTTACTGTAAGGGTGATTAATTTTTCATAAAGGAGATAAAAATCTACCAGGTTAGGGAAGCAGAAAGTATCAAACAGAAGGGTCTTACATTGAGAAAATGTTATTTTTTAGGCTTGTGGTGGTTACACACAGTGCTTCAAAACTAAATGATATATGTGCCTTATGTATTTATTTGTGCATACTTAGCTGTTTGGCTGTTTATGAAAAGAATTTTGACTGAAGGTGGCACAGATAGTAGAAAGTCTTAGAAATTACACGGAGCGTTCATTTTATTTGTAGATATACATTCCTTGTCAATGCAAGTATTATATAGGTTTGTTGTATAAACGTCCACAGTATCTCATGACATAAGAAGTTAGGACATTGGTTTCCATCATTATCTCAATACATAAGGAGTTAGAACATTTGTTTCCATCATTATTACTTATCTCCTTTGTGATGGTGAGTGAGTAGCTTAATTTTGTAAGCACAGTAGTCTGTATTATTTGCACAAGGTTCAGACTGATACTTGCAGAGTACATTGAGAGCTTCCATTATGAGTATTAAACTTCTTCCATAATCCCTGAAACGTAGTCAGCTATTACAGTAGTCATTTGGTTGAAAACCTTCATTAGTATTTTTAAACAGTTTGGAATACCTTAAAAGGTAAAGTGAAGCTGTAGGTGTTTTATGTTGCAGTAGACAGGAGAAAAACAACTAAAGTGTCAGTGAGAGGAGAAGCTAAATGCATGGTATTTTGGCAATTTGAAAATGAACTTTGTTAAGCTAAGTAGAAAATATCTTGCTTCCCTGTTTTTTCTTAACTCAGCAGATAGATGTGCTATGAATTTGCATGTAGAAAAGAGAGAGTTGCCAAATTGTTCTAGTTATCTCCATCACAGCCACACTTGGGGTTCATCACACAAGACTATGGCTGTAGAGATGTGTCAGGTATATTTCTTTCCTTCCCTGACATCAATATTGATAAAGAAAACAGTGGGGAAAAATAACAGATAAGAATTTCTGCTTTACAAATAAGGATTCCGGATACAAAGATTTTTCTTGTTCAGAATTGTGCAGGAAATTTTCCATAAAGTTTTTCTCTGTGCTGTGAATGAATAGCATGTAAATTATGAGACATTTAATATATAGCCTGTAATTTATTTAGAGGGAGGCTAAATCAAGGCATAGGTCATAAGTGATGTAAATATCATAATTCTGAGGAAAACAGAAAAACATTTTCCTAAAAATAACTTGGTACATGTGTCTAGGCCACAGGCTTCAATCCTGAGGTTGACCAGGCGTGAGATATCCAAGTAGGGTTGGAACATAAGCACATACCTGTGGTTAAGTGCTTTATAGAACTAGTATTATCCATAAACGGGAATGTCTGGAAATGTCTCCTGCTGTGATTTAAGAATAAAAATAATTCTAAGAAACTAAGTAATTCCTCTGGGAACAAACAAAATTATTAGAAAATATGTGGTAGGGGAAAGAGGAACAGATAAATTAAATGTTGCTGTCTCTCCATACTTCATGTATAAATTTTGTTTTGTGCTGAAGCACTTCGTAATGAATGGGAATAATGGAAATAAAAACTTTTTAAGGTAAATTGTGGTCAGAAGGTCTGATATAGTTAAAAATATGCTTGCCTTACAAAATTATTTTACTGACCGGCCTTGATAAGGTTCTTAATAAAATTAATTTTCAATTAGCCACTGATTCCTCATAATAAAGATCTATGAGAAGCTTTGGTGTCTGTATCTGTGGAGATTTGTTTGTTTTGTTTCATCCCCTCCCCCACTGTGTAAACATTTTTAAAGGCTGCTTTGATGCCTTTGTTCTTCCTCTTCAGGAATTTATGCAACTCCCATTATCATAGTATCCATACAACTGATTAATTTTTTTTTTTTTTTTTAAGATTTTGGATTATATTATCTGATCAACTTTCATTTGCCTAGCACACTGATATAGTACTATTCATATTTGATTTCTTAAAGTATATAAAATTCTTCTATGTGTTGTGGCCACAGAAGTCAAATACAATTAGAAAAAAACAGAAATAAGTCTTTGTTTAGATGCTGTGTGTGATATTATATTGCTGTCAAAGCACCAAGAACTTCATCCTGAATAGTAACAAAGATTGTTACTCTTGGGAGAAGGGAAAAAAAATGAAATTAGTATATGTCAGTTAACTAAAGCTCTTCAAAGGTTGACTAACCAGTTAAACTGTTACCACTAATATTAGAGATGTGATGCTACCTGTTCATAAAGTCTGTAACTAAAATTATTTTCTGCTGGAAATAATAATCCATAATTTCATTTTTTCTAAGACAAGGAATGACACTGAACCTTGATTTTCTTGCTTGTTGCTTATATTGCAGTAGCATCCAAATCAAGTTGGTCACTGAAATTTGTGCATAGAACACATGCCCTGTTTTGTCTCAACCTGCTGCAATCCTGAGAATGAATTACCTGCCCTGGTCTATATAAAATCTCTCACTCATATTTGGTGTGCCTTGGAAAAGGTTCTGTTCCTGTAAACATACATAGGGAGACAAATACACAGACACTTAGGAAAACAAAGGGTGCAATTAAACTCGGGTATTTTAATGACTGATACTCAAAAAAGAGTTTTTCCTGATTATGTTATGCCAGATTTTATTATAAGATGCAGTATTGTAGCTTTGCCAGAAAACATTACCACATTATTTTTGAGACCTTATACATGTGGATACTTCAAATTATCTGTAAAATCACAAGGACTGTTTTTCTATTTCATGTGCAACCATTGCATGTATTTAAATTCAGGACAAACTTTAAACTTGCTGAAAAACTAACTCTTGTTTGGGGGTCAGTTTGTTCTACCGTATCTTATCTGTGACTTGTGTGCCTTAGGCTCTACTTTGGATTGGTTCTGAAGCAAAGCTAGTAAACCATGTAACCATACTAGCTATAACTTATTAGAAACGTAGTTGTCATCCTTGTTTGCATCCATTTTTATTTACGTTTCTGTCTTACTAATGCTATCTTATTTAGATGGTGCAAAAAAAAATGCAGAAATGCATTTTGTTTGAAAGTTAGCCTCCTTTTTCTTTAACATTTAACCCTAATTTCTCTAATGTGTTCTTTTTTTATTTTCCCATTAGAGTGACCTCAGTTCTGTGGTAATTTTTATTTTTTTTTATAAATATGTATGCTTTTTTAATTGCCTATCTGTCTCTGTGCTTACTGACATTCTTTTAAAAACATAATGGAAAAGCAATGTCTGTTCTGCATATCACGAACTCGTGTTTTCTCATCTTTATGTGTGCAGCTAATCATTTAAATGGTTAGCTCTTTCTTTAATACCCATTGTTGAAACCAGAAGTTGATTATTACAGACTCTTGCTTATGGGGGTCCTCCTGTAAAATATCTTACCAAATTTGTCTAGAAGCATTGCTTGAAAATGGGAGTTAATCTCTTCTAAAATTTTCCTGCATTTAACCCAGAGAAATGTAGGGTTTACTACAGCATGGCTTATGTAAGTTGTGACACAACTTTTCACATGTAGTTGCTGGAGAACAGTGGGTTTGAGGAGAGAGCAGCAGTTGGATGTTTTTCCTTCCTTTCGCTAGCTGGAAACTGCACTTTCCAACTTTTAACTGCATGTGACAGCTGACGAGCTAGTATGGTACTTCTGCAATCTGATTTCACTTTAAGGTGTGCCTTGTATTTAAATCAGCTGCATTCATCTGAAGTACTTAAGTATTCATTTGTTTTTAAAATGTAATACTAAACCAATTTAGGAATAACAAAAGAATAACTTGCTTTTTCATTATGCTGCTTGATTTTCTTATCCTTTCCAAATTAGCTTTTTCTAAATTTCTGCCTATGGTTGCTGCATTGAAAACAACTAAATTTGGGTAAATGGACACTTTGAGCAATGGATTTTTGGGATATAAATCATATCAATTTATGTGACAGTCAGGTGCTAGTATCAATGATTACTGAGAACCATATATTAGTTGGAGTTATTTTCAGCTCCTTCTTCAGGTGTGAGGTCTGTCTGTAACCCATGGAGCTGGCACAGTTTTCATTACTATATATATACATATATATAGTAATATATATATATGTTATCATCTGGTTTGTGTTTAACGTGTTTATAAGGCACAACAAATACTTCCAGTACCATTCTGTATTTCTCATAAAGCAATGCCTTTTGAGCCTACAAATTTTTTACAATTTTGTGCACTTTTATTTTGTAATTCACAAGCAGGACTCCATTTCTACAGTGAAATAATTTGTTCACAATGATTAAAAAGAAACTGTGAACTTCCTTCTACCTTCCCCATAAGAATACTTTTTTTTCTATCATAATAAAATACTTCTTCATACTGAATTTATAGAACAGAATATTTCAGTTGGAAGGGATCTATAACAATCATCTAGCCAAACTGCCTGAATTGGTAACTCTTGTAAATCAGATTTGGTACACATACACCCTTTTTTTTTAAATTGGCACTTTTTTTGGTTTTGTTTTTCCTTTCAGGGTCTCGTATCTCTAACAGACTGAGCTTTCCATAATTACCCTGTCCTGAGATTTCAGAGCTGCAAAGTGACATCACTCATCTGCAATTCCACAGAAACAGTGGTGCGAACCCACCTTTAGTTCCGTGTTTTTTCAGCTTCTGAAGCTTAACAGTCTGTGGCTTTTATTCATGTACTAGAATTGGTCCTCATATATGCCATCTTCAGGCATTAGGTTCATTTAACAGACACGTCCATAACAAACATAGGCCATTTTAAAGGTAAAGCACCAGTTAAATTGTTGGATGCATATAATATTGGTAACCATTGGCATGATGCAGCTGAGTGAGAGATAAGGCTGGTTTTTGCTTTTTATCCAGTACATCAGTTTTGCAATAATCATAAAATCTCAAAGCATGCACCTGAACTATTTTACTTCAGTTAAACAGTCTTACTTTAATTTTTTTTTATACAGCATAACGCACTAGTAATCTGGCTTGGCATGTTGTTGTGCACTGTAATTCCTTACCACTCTTATTTTTTTCTTTTTTATAATCTGGATTAAAATTTGGGTTGCTATTGAGTTTCGGTGAAAGTCTTGGGAAATGGTGATCTGATGCATTACAAATAAGCAATAGCTAGAACATAGTGAAATTATCCCACATCCATTGTTTGGTGAGGTACCTGTTGACTAACACTTTTGCTCCTGTTGTAACTGGGATTAAGGTGTTTTCTTGCGTTAATTAATTTGATTTGCAGGCATGAACTAAACACGTGACTTTATTATTTTTTTTAACAAAAGGACTGTCTACTCTTTTTAATAACTCTAATCAGATTTTCATGAACTTGCACTTTGTTTTTCCAGACAGATGAAGTGTTTCTGGAAGCTCAGATTCAGAATATCACTACCTCTCCAATGTTTATGGAGAAGGTTTCTTTAGAACCATCTATGATGTATAATGTTGCAGAACTGAACACAGTTAATACAGCAGGGGAAAGGTATGTTGCCATTCAGGATATTTTGACTTTGAAATTCTTTGTATTAATGGTTTCATGAAATGCAAGCATTAGAGTTGGTGAGTTGTCTGAAATGAAAGGACTGTACCACTTTGCTTGATTAAAAAATCTAATTCCTGTTATGTACCAACTAGAAAAGCTGTTACAGTTTTCTTTTCTAGAAACTATTCTTAAAACTTTGTAATTCTATCTAGTAGAGAAATCCTCAGCTTAATCCTGTAATACAAATTATCCTCAAAAAAATTGTAACATGGATGACATGGTAACATGAAAACATACTACTTCAGGATCTCCTGTTTAAAATTTAGCCCACATCTGGTTCTGATTTGATCTGTGTGTACATATTTAGGCTTATAGGACCATCTGACTTGTCACTGGTTCCTTCTAGTAGACCGTTTTCAATGGTTCTAATCAAGATCTAGCAAGGCAGCAGTCAAGATGAATCAGTGAATGCCTTTATAGGATTTTAAAATACAAAATAATTGTCATGCTGAAATAAATGTCATTTAGTATCAGTAAAATACCAAATACCAGAAGAATTTGTCTACTGTGTTCAATAAACTATTGTGGATACAAAAGCTTGTGATGTCTGGGTAGAAGTTAATTGTTGCAGTTGCTTTTGGAGTTTTTGGAGCAGGTGGTATTTGGGTGCTTATGTGATGGGGACTGAAGTGAAAATTCTCTCTTCTCCTTGTCTATTGAAGGGTTTGCCTACAGCGTACTGGAGCATTGGCCTTACAAATGTTTGCAGCTGCTGTCATGGTTCTTGTCCTGAATGGGAATCTTAGACTCAGGACACTCAGATTTACTGGGAGGGAACCAAATAGTAGGAGGAAAATTACTAGAGTTGTGCTTAAGTGCTAAGATACCCAAGATACCAGATAATAAATTTAGCAAAATGGATTTCCATTTCCTTTCTCTCCAGCTCAGATGAATAGTTTTTGTTTTTTTTTTTTTCCACCTTGATCCTTGATGCTATGTAAGTTACAGAATTGTTTTCTGTTGTGGAAAAAGAATATTCTGTGTTTTGCCATGAATAAAATATAGACACACACACAGAGTAAGACTGGTGAGGGATGGGGTAAAAAGGTTGGTTTCCTAAATCTTCTTCAAAATAACTTATAATTAAGAACTTGTTTTGCATTCTTTTTCCCCTTTTAGTGAGTCTACTTTTGGCTCAAGAACTTATTTACAACCTATGGATACACGTCAATACTTATACTGCCTAAAACCAAAGCAAGAATTTGCAGAGAAGGCTGGAGTAATAAAAGGTGTAACAGTGATTGGTAAACTAGACATTGTGTGGAAGACTAATCTGGGTGAACGAGGAAGGCTGCAAACTAGCCAGCTCCAAAGAATGGTACGTTTAACTTAAGCACCAGTCTGCTCCCTAATTCATACAGACATTTTCATTTTGATTAAGAGTTTTTGTCTACAGGATTATACTACTTACCTTTCATGTCCACAGTTTTGATTGAATCTGTTCTATTCTGATTTAGAATTTTTTCATTAATTTTAAGTCATAATTACTAAGTCATAATTACTAGCTTGCTGAAGTCGGCTGCACAGTCTGTCTACTCTAATACATAAACCTGAATTGCATCTTTTGAATTGAGGATGGTGTAATACAGGAGAGAAGTAAAAAAGCTTTGAAAATTGAATCTTAGTCGAAGTTTATAAAGCTTGTAACTGGGTTTCTGCCTCTGCTCTGTCTTTCTCCCTGCCCTGTAGTCTAGTAAATTAAGCAATTCTATATGGAGATCACTATGGCTTGGAACCAGGCAAGCAAATTTGGATCCTAGAATTCATGGCTAAGTTGCTAAAACTTCTCTTTGTTTTTAATTGAGGTGTTAAGTATTTGTATAAATTCATCAAATTAGAAACTGCCCTTTTTCCTAAGCTTAGTTACTCCTGTTAATTTGAAACTTGTTACTTGTTTTTAAACTAACAAACTCTCATTTTCAACTGATCTTTCTTATTGCTTCTCTTTAAAGACAGATGTCTCCCTACCTCCTCTCTCTAAATCAGTATTCTCTCATTCGGCATCCCTTCTTGTTGAACCTTTGAGAATCAGACTTGAAACATGGGTGATTTCACACACTTCCACATTCCAGGATTAGTTTTAGTCATCCATCATTGTTTTGTGCTAGTGATTAATAGAGAAACATGAGCTATTTTGTGAATTTTGAGCAATATTTGTCTTTGGAAAAGCAGCAAACAGGTTTAGGTTTTAATTCCCCTTTGAGCTGCAGTGCAACGCCCTCTCATCTTCTTAAGTGCTGTCAGATTTTTTCATTTCTAGGCTCCTTTCACCTTCCATCATTTTCCTCCTAATCAATTTACTAGTCTTATAATCATTGTTTCCCCCATAGGTCTAGAATTTTACCTGTACCATGCCCCTCTGAAATTGTTTGGTTCAGATCAGTAATGCACTTTTGAAACAAGTAACCTGGGTAATTTCCTACCATAATTTGGAGGTTTTTGTGGAGCGGTCTTGGAATTCACAACTGCCATTCTTTTGGGGGGCAATGCTACATGAGGCAGATGCATGTCCACAGCGTGCCATGGGTGGTTCACCTGCTCACAGGCATTCAGTCCAGGACTAGACTATGACTAGTCCAAGTAATCTTAACATTGCTCTTGAGTAGCACAACCAAGGAATTGTCTAGCTGATTCCATACTCTGAGCAATCTTATTTTTTGATGAAAACTATGTTCCTCCTTTTGGGGTTACTGTATGGCTTTTACCTCTAGCCATCAGTTCTTGCAGCTATCTCATTGTTAAGGCCAACAGAGATGTACTGGTTTAGGCCTTCTCATCTGCTCTGATCCTTGTCTTGATTTGGTGAATTGCTTCTAATCTGACTCTGTAAATACTGCTTTTACTGCAGGTTGGTTTTGTTGGGGTTTTTTGTTTGTTTTGTTTGTTGTTTTTTTTCTTACTATGTCTCTTAAAAGAAGACTCTAACCTTAAGGAAAACTACGCATTGTTTAGGGAACTAGGTATAAGTTTTCAAGTAGAGTTCTTCCTGTCACCTAATGCAGCTGAAAATGTGTGCCTTTTTCTAATGCTGGCTAATTACTTTTACTTCTTGAAAGGTTCCAAACTTAAGCTGATTGACTGGTCTGAAGTCTCCATCAGTTTAACATGCCTTTGATCACACTAACATGCAATTTAATATGCTTTCTAAAATGTCATCTGTCTTCAGTCTGTAATGAACTGTGTATGACTATAGCCTGTACCCAGCCTGTCAGTCACTGGCTTTCTGGATTTCTTTGGGTATATCTTTTAATCAAGCTGTAAATGTAACTTTTAGTACAGCACCCTGTCACATATGTCACAACTAAGTGTTGTCAGGCAGGGCAAATTTTTCCCTTTTTTTCTTACCACCTGTCATATAGTGCGTTTCTGATTGGTGGCAGTTAATTATTTGCCAGAGGCTTGGTGGACTGAAATGACAGGGGGAATGAACAATCTTTCCTTCCTTAGGATGCGGAACAGTGGTGGGTTTATGCAGGAAAACTATACTTACATTGTCCTTAGTATATTTGTTACCTGCCTACAGCTCTTAGAATGAAGCTGATCTGAAACTGTATATGGGTATTCAAATTTTAAGGATGTGAGCTATCTGAAAAACTTAGTAATAAAGATCATCCTTGTCTAAATAATAGTTAAATCTATGAAGACCGTGATCATCAGTAATAGATGGAGCACGGCTGTGTTCTGGGTAAAAATCAAAAGCACAAAGAGCCAATCTTCTTTCTTCACATTCCTCTATTCCTATCTTGTTGCAGTAAATGAAAACTTGAGTAATAAAAACTTCAACTTCACTATCCAGCATCTGAGAATATACACTCTTGTACCTTCTCAGGCTCCTGGCTATGGTGATGTAAGGCTTTCTCTGGAGACAATACCAGACACTGTGAATTTGGAAGAACCTTTTGACATTACATGTAAAGTAACAAATTGCAGGTAATGATGTCGTGTGATTCTTGTGCTTTTTCCTAAGTGGGTAAATTGTCACTGTCTTCATTTCATCTTTCTGTATTTTCTCCTGCAACAACTCAAATCTGGACTTTACTATGAGTTACAGCAACACGAAACTACTTGAAAGACATACTTTGGATTACAGTGATTTTCAAAAACCCAAAGAAACAAACAAATTAACACCCCTCCCCTTGTGATCCGTTAATATACTATTTGAACTAAGAGATTGCCAAAAATTTCTAGTAGAGTAACATGGAACTGGCTGCAGTATTATTTAAGATTGTACCTCATATTTAAATCACAAATCATTTTGGTTCTTATTAGGTAACCTAACTCTAAAACTAGTGTTTACATAGGATTTTTTTAATTACAGGTAATTTTATCAGAATAAATAATGCCATTTCTATCCAGTCTGATTTTACGGCTAGTTTTGCATCACTGCCCTAATGCTTGTTGGACATTGTCACTGTAGTCTTTTGTATGTCTCTATTCATAATTTTACTTGATCTGTGTTTACACTAGGCTCTACAGTAGCCCTTTATAGAAGGGATACAAGAGTGACATATATATAAAATAATTCTAAATAGAAGTTGAAGCCAGGGACTAAAGCACGTATCTGTTCTGCAGATACTTCTCATGAAAACCTTGTCTTCCATCCAAAGTGTGAGCAGTATTATGCTATCCAGTACTGCTAAATCTGTAGCCAGACACTTGTGTCAGACAAAGCTACATGTAACTGCATTACTGCACATCAGAATAAATCTTGCTTGATGCCTTATGATTATTTATAAATTCTTGATTAATAGTAACCTGAATAATAAAGTAATCAGCTTTTACTTGAGTGTTTAGAAAAAGGCCCACAGGTTTATTTTATTTTATTTATGATTTCCTCTAGCAGTGAAAGGACTATGGATCTGGTTTTAGAAATGTGCAATACAAATTCCATCCACTGGTGTGGAGTTTCAGGAAGGCAACTTGGAAAGCTGCACCCAAGCTCATCCCTCCATCTTGCACTTACATTGTTGTCTTCAGTGCAGGGATTGCAAGTAAGTCTTTATAGCATGGTTTTGTTATAAAATAGCCATTTTGTAAGCTTCGTAATTCTTTCTAGTAACAACTCTTTTAAATATTTTCCTTTTCTAGAGTGTCTCCGGCTTAAGACTTACAGACACATTTTTGAAGAGAACATATGAGTACGATGATATTGCACAAGTCTGTGTAGTTTCTTCAGAAGTCAAACAAAGCTGAAGAAAAATTTCTGTACAGCTGAAGGGCTTTCTTTTTTTCTTGATGTTTTAGTAGCTGAATCAAATTAAAATGTGTAAAAGCAAAACCAAATCCCTATATATCTCTAAATTTAACTATTGCTTATTTAATTTCTCTGAGCATTTCCTGAACATTCTTACATCTTTCAAAACCATGCATATGCATTCTGTCTACAGAAAATAAAGCCTTTGAATCAACTGCAGCTCTAGCAGATTATATTGCATTAACATCACTCGGGTCAGGGGGTGAGACTGATATGAAACCGTATCACTTTGTACTTATTTTTGTTGTTTCAATTATTTTTAAACTATTTAAACAGGTTTTAAATTGCGATTCTGACAAAACTGCTTCAGTTTTAAGGAACTGGCCTTTTACAGAGAAATTCCTGGAATCCAAACCCCTAAAAAGAAACACTTTTGTGTACTTGGCAGAGCAGAGTATTTGCATGGTACACGCATAACCATATGAACTAGAGACCGATACAGGCATGAGACGAGGGAGTGCAGCTGGCACTGCTGAAGCACTAGCAGCTACAAAGTAGAGTATCAGCCAAAGCGTGTGCTGGTTGTAGCTTCGTCTTTGGAAAAGAGCAGCAATACAGCAAACCTTGTGAAGAGTTGTGTGTCCCTGTCATACAGGGCATGGCGTGAACAAGCATGCTGCTTCACAATTAGTAGAGAACTGAAACCAAGCAGAACTTGGGGCATTTTATATTGTTAAACTGAGGTGGTGCAAACTATTCTGCCCACCCCACAGGCATTTAAGTGGATTTTTAAGAAAATTAGGAGAAAAAAACCTGCACGGCTGCCCTAGATCAAGTTCTCCAAAGCATATGCAGGAAGGAACTCAGGACCTGGTTAAGCACTGAATTGTATTTTTCCTTGGCTTTGTTTTGACAAAAGATGGAAGAATTTTTGGCTGAAATATATAAGGTCACCTAAAGGTAGCCATTTACAGAAAATGGTGACTGGCTTTACTAGCTAACTAGCGTTGAAAGATTCTACCCAGTGGCCTGTCATGTTTCTCGGCAACCATACTGGCACATAGCAACCTTACTTTTGACTTATTTCACTTAATTTTATACACAGGAAAGCCTTAAGTATAGAATTCAATTTCAAAACATTGGATAAATGTAGGATCAGCTTACTAAATCGAGAGAATGAGTCAATACTGCAAAGAAAATAAATTAAAACTAGATCCTGCACATCCAAAATATGTTTATGTTTGCTGCCCCCCAGTTTACTAAAGAATGCAATTTACCTGTTACTGTAAGTACATCAACAAATTAGAACAGTAAAACCGCAACTATCCAGACAAAAAAGTAAGTAACTTTATTTATAACCTATTTTCAAGTTAAACTGACACAAGTTGAAGGACATGTAACCGTATGGTAACAAGAGGTAGGAGGAGAGATACAGAAAGGGTAGCAAAAGGCTGTTTGTCTAGTATGACTTTCTGTAGCTCTGAAACAATGTGTGAGTCCAAAGCTGCAGACTTGCTACAAAATCAAACGTGCAACTGAAACACTTTCTCAGCTGAATTTTTCAGTAAGCATCTTTATGATCAGGCATAGTTTAAAGAATATACCCCCATGCAAACAGGTTACAGGAGTTCACAATTCAAGGGCAAGACATTTTCTTCTCTAACAGTTATCACACCTATATGCTGATGGAACAGTAATGATATAAAACCAATTCAGTGTTAAATGCATATTTGCTTAGTTGAATGATAAACTGCAGTTGACCTTAACGCAGTATTTCTAGGGAGTGTGGTTTACCACCTGATCTAGGATGAAAAATTTTAGTGCAAAATAAAGTGCAGTTATTACACAGGAAAAGATTCTTTCCTCACCCTGTGATTAAGACATATTGCATGACTGTGAAACAATCTAGCCTATTCAAGGAAAAATAGACTTTAGTATAAATGATCCCCTTGTTTCTGGTTTCAGTGGAAAAGCATGTAATGGCAGCTCCTGTTATTGGTTTCACTGCTTTTCATTTAGGCTATAAAGCCCTTTCTGTTAATATACAAGAAACAGAATGTTTTCAAGTTAAGTAGTGTGCCAGTTGTAGCACATTCCTAAATGGTTAGCTAATGCCATCAGTATTTTAATAAATACTCTGGTTACATATTGTCTATACTGGAGTTAAACCTAAACATGACAATATTGCAGTATGTGAAAAGAAAGTTACCACTCTATAAAGATGATTTCAAGACTAGTTTTCAGGTAACTAACCGATGCTTCATCCCATTTAACCCTGGGGGTAGTTCTCCCATAAATCCAGTAAGCTATATTTTACTTGACAGTACAACTTCTGCAGCCAGCCTTTGAGTACTGTTGTAGTTTGCTGTTCTCTAAGAACTCTCAAGAGGTTCTTCACACTTTTTTCTGTCTTAAAGTAGAAAGGTAACTGGCAGCATGAAGATAGCTGCCACAAAGTAAGTATAAACTGAGTGTGAGAGAGACTGCAGTGCTGTCCAGCCCACTCTGGATTTATTGGTTCCCCTTATCAAAGCTAGGAAAACTCACTTTGAGCAGCTGAAAATATGAAAGAGAGCAGTAAGAGGAACAGTGAAGTTTACCAGGAGACATGCTAGGAGCAGTGCTTCTCTCCTGATACAACATGCCACTCCAAGCAATGTTTGTACAGTAGTTGTAGCCCACTTACAGCTTCCATGGCTCGCTCTTGTAAATGGTATCCTGTCCTATTAACGTAACAGAACTTAGGTAGCAGTTTTCTTGAATTCAGGATCTGAACAACCTCTGAAAAAAAGATGCTGTTAGAGATTGTCATCAGATGTTAATTCAGAAGCTGTTACTTGGAAATGTATTTTTAATACAAAGGTTAAGTATCTGTACAGCCTCAAAAAGGCAAGTATGGAAACTTAGAGAATTTAAAGAAGCAGCATTTTAATGCTGTGTATAGGCAAGTTCTATTGAATAAAGTATGCAATGTGTTAAAGTTGTTTTAGTTGTTGTATTGAGCTTTACCTCTTAATTCAACAGATGGCAATATAGATTTCCTATTTTTTTGTTTTCTCCAATTCTTTTAATTTCTCCTTGGATCCAGCTGCATTTCCACCCCTCTCCCTGTTTTAACATGGGGAAGACTCATAAAGTAGATGCACAACTATAATTTCCTCAAGTCAAGCATGACTCCAAATTTTGCATTTATTCCTACTTGAGGTGCTCTTTTTTGACCGCAAGATGAATCTGATACAAAGTCTGAGGTCCAGAAGTTCCTGTGTATTTCTCTATTTGAGAGTCTAATGTTAACCCTCCACATACCTTCTCCAGTCTATCTGGCCAGCAGATATCACCCTGTCTTAGAAATCAAAGCAGGCTCCTCAAATTAGTTTTGATATTCAGAGAGGAAAATGTGAGCATTGAGAACCTCCCTGGAGTAAAAAAAAACCTACACTGTATCAGCAAGCTGTGTAAACAGTAAGCAGCATAAAAGAGTTAACGTAATAAAAATACAGAAAAGCAGTTGTCTCTGCAAGAGTAAGATTAACTGAGCAAGAAAAGCCAGGGTAGGAACCGAAATGCTATAGAATGGAAAAATCTCTACTATGGCCATATAACCATCACTTTAACATAGAAACTTAAAAAAAAAAATATTATTGTTTAGGCCAGCAACTTACCACACAAGAATAGAAAGATAATCCTTTCTAAGGCGAATTATTTTTTATAAATTTTCAGTATTAGTTATTTATACAGTCACAGGAACAGTTTTAGCTTATTAGTTATGAATTTTAAGCTTATGTTAAATACTGCATACATATAGAATGTAATACAGTTTGCCATGTGTAAGAAAATAGTGTCATAATGCTGACCTCCAGGGCTGCCATCATGATCTGAAGGTGTATATGGCAGTAAAAAAGCCTAGAACTTCTTAATACTATTTCCTTTCCCAAACCAAGTTCCATATTGGTTTCTGTGTATTATCTTGCTCAGGACTTGTGTCTTCTCAACAATTTGTGGTACTCGTTCGTATGCAACCATCTTCCGCCCTCCCGCCCAGTGAAGTTGAAAAATATTTCATGTTACTAGTGACAGCCCCTCCACAGGCTTAAAGAAACAGACTTTTCAAGCATTAGTTTTAAGTGTACTCTATACTCCAACACTGATTTATGCTCATTATAAAAGGGCATATCAGATGGGCCCACTATTTCCATATTTAACAGGAGTACAGCCATAATGATTTTTACATAAGAATAACATGCCTGTTACAGTAGGATTTTGGAATTAAGCTGTTATGCGAGATCAGCCCACTACAAAACTCCTCACTCAATAGCCCTGGAGATCAATCTAATGCACATACTGAAAATTACTTGTACTTAGGGATTTTAATAAACCACCTATTAGTGTATTAATTTGCAGGAGTTAACTATACATAAATGGTATGTTCCAAGTTATGTGCAACAGATCTGTTTAACAGATTTATTCTTGTTTGCAAATACGCACAAAGAATTTTCTGTCTTCTATTCAAGCACAAGAGTTACAATGGTGCTTTTTCTACTAACTATGGTACGCATTTTGGGGCTATATACCATTCCAATTCACATGCCTCCTTTAAGTCAGGAATGCTCTTCAGTGCTGCCACTGAAAGATCTGCTCCGGACGTGATTTCTCAGTTGCTCTATGAGCTCTGGATTCTGCTGCTGTATCTGTTGTGCAAACTGCTGCCCCCTGTGTTGAACAGTTTTAAGGAAAATCAAGTGAAAAAAATGACAAGCAGCATTTTCAATAAAACTGGACATCCCAATATAACTGAAAGATATATTATATGACAATTAAGACTGAAGGTAACTTGCTGTATAGTCTTAATCAAGGTATTGACTTTATATCTACTAAAAGTCTTCTGCAAGCAGGATTATCATCAGATCTTCATTCTTTCAGACTATTGCTGCTATTTGATGTAATGGAGGAGAAAGTAAAAACTAAAATTTAGCAATCAATCTGCTCCAGTGATTTGCTCCCTTCTTTTTGTGAGGTTGTTTAAGATAACTGCTCTTGTAGGTGAAGCACAGCAAAAGTGCAGCGTTTTTCCAAAAGTGCAGCGTGTGGCTGCCAATGCGTACTCGTGAGCAGGACTCCGTTAGTTGAAAGCAAGCATACAGTTACACCTTTAATGTCCTGTGTGACTGAAGTAATGACAGATGCGTCTCTGTAACTGCTCTAGCTTGAGAGTTAAATTAATAGGTGACATTAATTTTATGTAAAATATAAGCATAACACAGGTTTACTAGAAAAGGCAAGTAAAATATGTGACTTCGTGAAAAGCTTGTCATGGCTTCTCTCTAACTTCTGCATTTTTGTCCTGAAGTGGCAAAACTTAAAAATACTTTGAAATAGGCTAGAATAAAGTAAAACTGTATGCACTTTACAAGGTCTTTCCTATAAGCAAATGAATTTTTGTGCAGGCTCTCCAGATGGATTATTGTTACAATATAAAAACCTTGGGCCCTGTTTTTTGTAAAAGCTACTCAAACCGAGTTTTCTGAAGCCTTCCTAGTCTAAACAGAGGGATGCAAGTGCAGCACTTGTTGCAACCTATACAAAGTAAATCTGTAGCTTTTCAAACTAGTGTTTGGGTCATCAGGTAGTAGATTTATCAACCCAATTTAAAAGCACTTGTAGAAGTACTTCAAGATTTAAGGGAGCACTTTTAGTAAGTGGCATCTAGAAACTAAACAGTGTAGGAGAACTAGAAAATGAAACTGAGCACACAGTTCAGTCATTCCAACTAATGGAAACATACAAAGCAAACAAAAAAAGATAGTGGAAATTAAACCTTTTAAGTTCTCAGTTTTAGTAATAATCAGACATACGATGATGACAGGCCACAGTATAATTGGCTTGACACTATCCCTTTTAAACAGATGTTACACAATAATGCTTCTACAAATGTAACAGCTAAAAACTATGCAGTTCTTACTTACGCATGGATCAGGCTGGACAAATCTGACAGGCCACCAACACCTGCAGCAGGGCCACCAATGGCGTTGGACATCATCCCTGACATCCTGGAACAGTTAGCACAGCATTGGCATTAGGGTATGCAGGGACCTTCACAGTAAACAATAAATCACAGTTCTTGTTTTAATTGCTCGTAGGAAATAAGCTGCAAGAGGAGGAAACTGCAGTAGTTTATTTACAGTGAGCAAAAATAAAATTAATTTTTATCTACCTTTTCTCTTATTAATTCAAACCCCTAAATACCTCTGTTTTAATGGTACTCTGTTTTAGTACTTACAGTTGTTGAACTTGAGGATTCTGCATTAAGCTTGCTGCCTAGAACAGACAACACATAGCTGAAATTATGACACATTTACTACTTAGGTATCACTGAGGAAAATAAGGGAATAAAAAAAACCCAGGAAACATGCCATATTCTGTGTTCTATTGTACAATTAAGCTATGTTTATATACACAAGAGATGTACAGTCCCTAGCAAAAAAATCATCACAGGATGATGAATACATAAAATACATAAAAGTATTTCAAGGACAGAAAGCTGAGACAATTTGTTAAATTATATAAAAAAAAAAAAATAGTTGTTACAGATTCAGACATAAAATAATATAAAAAGCCTGTAGCAGAAAATGAAAAAAAAATATAATTTCAAGGACAAAAGTTTGCTGTTGTTTTTTGGAGAAAGGTCTGTATTGTATTTCAGTATTTTGTTAATTCTTAGCCTGGATAAACCAGTTTTGCAGTGACTATTACTACTGGGCATAAATTGTTAAGATTACAGGCACAAAATACCGCAGAATAAACCAGAGTGTGAAGTTTTTTCATAGCATGGTTTTGTGGTAACATATCTTCTAAGATACCTGTAGTAAGCATGAGGTTATTTAAATTTCTCATTCGTAAGATACCTCAAAAAATTATATTGTGTTTACCACAGTGTAAGGGTGTATATGGACAGATACTATGGAATAAACCAGGTGATGTTTCAAAGTTAATAATCTAGTTCATCCAGAAATCAGTGTTTGTATGAATACAAGACCTACAGGCACAGTGCAGTGTCTGCTTATTCACTCTCTTATTAAACATACTACAAACCCCAAATATATGCAATATTTATTTTGTTGATCAGTATCTCTAGACATGTAATCTATATCAATATTAAATCAACTGTTATTCTTGAGTTTAGTTGGATATAAAATGCCAAATACTGGTCAATTCTATGGGTAATACATGATTTTTTTTTTCTTTCTTCCATCAGCAACAGCCTGATCCAGGTTAGGGGACCCAAGAATGTAAGGCAGAAGTAACTTTGTCAGTCAGACAGCGAGTTATTTTTTTTCCTTAAAACCAAAAAACTACATCACACAAAAATAATTCATTCATTCCTCGGAGAATGCCCTGTGTTCTCTTCACTTGACCAGGCATCTTCTGGAAATGATGTAAAAAAATCTTTTCCCCACAGTTTCCCCAAGTTTCTCCATATTGAAGAGTACATCTTTGACTCTATAAACAGATGCAGACTGTCTTAGTAGCTCAAGTAGTTTTTGAAGTGGTACACAGAATTACAGTTCTATTTAACCACTAATGTCACTGGAGAACTCACTTCTTCCTTGCCTACCATCAATATTAGTTGGACCATTGTATCGGACTAGATGTATCTCCCTCTTGCATGCAGTGCACTTCCATACAGAAGCACTGGTTGACATGTCCTGTCCTAAGAGAACTACCAGAAGGGCAGTACCTACTTGGGGACAAAACCACAATTTGCCAATGTACTACGTACACTGTAGTGGAAGTAAAGGAATGCACTACAGGTTGTTTATATTTCTTGTCTGCACATCATATGAAGTTTTGCACACTTAATTTTCAGAGATAAACTGAAAGAATTTATCCCAGAAAGAAAGGTCTCTTGGGTATTTCTCCTCAGGCAGAATTACTTCAGTCTTGAATCTGAATCAACTGCTATTCACTTAAGAGGGGATATCTCTGTACTTGTTAACTCCTATATGGAGAATAGCAAAGAAATTTTCACCATGCTGTTGACAAGTGTTTTACTATCGTGCCATCTATAAAAACAGCATAGCTAATCTATGCACACAGTTGTTCATAAGCACGATAGAATCAACTGTAAATAAGACAGGTGTTATAGGAGATTTATGCTTCACTTCTTGTTTTGAGCGTAGAATTACTTAGAAAGTTTAAATGCAGTATAATGAAACCACTGCCATTATAATAAGCATTAGAATTGCTTGTGTTGTTGGAGCTGTTCTTAAAACTTTTTAAAAACAATATGAAGCTTGAAATATACTCACCATACTAATGAATGCAGGATTGTTTATCAAGCTTGCCATGTCAAAACTCAGTCCAGTTCCAGTCTAAAAAACAAATTGCAACTGAAGGTAAGTTTACCTACAAAATCCCCCTTAAACTATTGTAAATAAATAGATACAGAGCTAACTTACAGGACTGGACATGTCTCTTAGTTTCTGTT